ATAAAACTAAACAAAAGCATTTTGTAAATGTAATGACATGCATGTTCAGTTGGATAAATATTAGACAAAATGTAGATGAGAGACATGCAAAAAAAAATTGTGAGTCTGTCTAATGAGCAAAACATGCCATAAATGACTTACGTACCATGCACATCAACCAGCAAGAAGATAACAACTAGAAGCCAAATCAAAGGGCTGTTTGTGAAAAAAAGAAAAAAAAAAAGAAACAATTATTTTCGGCGAACATTTAAGATAGAAAAATTGAAAGCAAACTTGAAAGCTAAAGCATATTAGAGTAATTTAAGATAGAAAAATAGAGCATATTAGAGTGCATTATGTAAATAATTAATGAAATTAATAAAAACAAATAATGAAATAGTTATTAGAGTTGTGACTCAAATAGGAGTCTTGAATCGCGTATTGTTGGTGTTGGAAATGAGTCTAATTGTATTCAATAACAAGGAAACAAAATCCTGTTGAAATTGGATCTTTTAATTGTAATATATTTTCTTGCATTTTAGAACTTTTCTAGGGTTTGAAATACGACCTATAAATACAAGGCTCCTCTGTCAGTTTTGTTTAAGCATTATTACTGTATCTGTAATTTCTCTCCATATTGTCAGTTTATAATATATCGTTCCTCTATGATAAATTCTCTTTATTTATTTTTTTACTTTTAATCTTGTTTATTGTTGTGATCTTTATTATTTCACATCGTCATTAAATCTCATTTTTTACAACTCTTTGGGATCAACAGTGGTATCAGAGCTTAGTTCTTCTTCTGTGGATTGGTTGAGGTTTTTTCAAAGATGGCTACCATGAAGTATGACATTTTGCTACTGGATCACAATACAAGGTTTTCTTTATAGCAAGTAAAGATGAGGGCTATTCTGGTGCAGTTAGATTTGGACGATGCTGATAGGTTTTGAGAAGATGCTAACTGATTAGACTACGAAAGAGAAATAACGGAGGGATCGAAAGGCTTTAACACAGATCCATCTTCATTTATCCAACAATATTCTGCAGGATATCTTGAAAGAGAAAATAGCGGTTGCCTTGTGGTTGAAACTGGAGCAGTTATGCATGACTAAAAGTCTCACTTGCAGACTGGCCCCAAAGCAGAAGCTCTATTATCATAACATGGTGGAAGGAAGGTCATTGGAAGACCATATTGCTGTGTTCAATGAAATAGCTACAAATCTGGAGACGTTGAAGTTTAAGTACGATGAAGAGGATCTGGCCATGATCCTGTTGTGTTCGCTGCCTAGCTCTTATATGTCGTTTCGGGACACCATTTTGTATAGTCGAGATATTTTGACTATAGACGATGTCTATGATGTTTTGCACCCAAAGGAGAAATCGAAGCTTTTGGTTGGAGCTACTCGAGGGATAAAGAAGCTCATGTATCTCATGGTGGTCGACGGAAAGTTCAAATTTGTTTTACTTCTACTGCAGACATAAATGACATATTCGAAAGAATTGCGATAAGTTGCAGGCTAAAGGTGATTTATAAGTTGTAGGCTAAAGGTCATTTAGCTGCAAATCGTGGACCGCAACCTTTGACTTCAGACAAAACAAATGTAGTTGATGATTTTTCAAACGGTGGAGATGTGATGTTGACCGTGGTATCCGATGTGGAATCTAGACTTAACGAGGAGTGAATGCTTGATTCGATATGTTCGAAAGTTTGTATTAAATGGTGCAACTAACTAAGAGGTTGACAAATAAATGTAGGGTTATTATTGATGGATATTTATAGAGTGGTACCATTGGCAGCCATATATTCGACTGTTTGCGTCTCTCTCTCCCAAGCTTTCCAACGCTTCATCTGTAATAAATGGAGACCCAAAATAAACTGAATTTTAGAATTGCCCACCGACACATTGACCATACACGCGAAAATCAGGTCCAAGTGTGAACACGTCCAAAAAATCTTAACAAGTCAAAGTACATTAAAGTAAACATGAAGCAAAGCTCACTTAACATAAAAGTGTGTATTTTATACAACTGCACAGTCGAGTAAACGCATGATTAAGATGGAGGGAACATATACGTTGACGGATTCAACACCCGACAAGCACGTTGCCTGTGTTGGCTCCGTTGAAATTTATTTTCCCTTATATAGGGTGGCCGCTCGACAGCACGGCTGTCCGTGCTCAAATCTCACCGCCCATGCTCACCTCTCATCTGAGGTCCGCTAGTGAATATATATGTTTCTTCAACTAAAGAAAAATGAAAAAGAAAATGGACGCCTTGTTGTACCTTGGCTCTTCCCAAACCCATTGTGACAAGGCTGTACACAATCTGCATAGCTGCTAGCACAAATATGAAAATATTGAGCTCATTTATTCCTTGTTCTGACATGAAAGAAGTCATTCCCTGTCCAACATGATACACACAAGATTCTAATGTGATTACAATATAATTTATATATAAAACTAGGCTCAACAGTACCTTTATTATGATACTGCTAATAATGGTGTCAAAATAGGAACAATTTGTCTATTTACATACCTTAGAGCCACAGTGGTCGGGAGAATAAGCAGTGTCTGCAGCCAATTCTCTTTCTTGACGAGATATAAAATCATTCTTATATTCTCCTCCTGAAACTGCATTATGAAAGGAGACCCATATGTGCTCTAAAGCCTTGATAGTTTTTGTTTGTGTACCTTTTCGGCATGGAAGCATGGAATATGCTACCTTATTCGGAATACATATTTTTGATATAGATCTTGAAGTCGCTGTCAATATTAGTGACATAAATCCCAAAAGCATCAAAACTGCACAAAAATTAGACTAATTTTCATCAGACTCCGAGATGCCAAAAATATGTGGATGATAATGAGTAATAATTACGTTTGTCTTCGATTGAATTTATAAACCAATTCAAACGGAGTCACAGGTAGGTTGTACACGATAATATGAGATACCTGACTTGAGCTTTTCTACAGCTTCATAAAGAGCAGTCTTCTTATGCTTTTTTAGCCACTAAACGCCAAATTAAAACAAATATTAATTCAATAGCAGTACTATGAACTAAAGGAGGAGAAAAACCGGAGTTATAATCATGGGTTTTACAAGACAAATCATTACTTACATGACCTAGGAGATGGATCGAGTGTTCAACAAATAGGCCTAAAAAGATGAATATGAAACAGACAGTTGCAAGAGCCCAAGTGGGGGTATACTGCAAAGAACGGGTGTTGCTTGCTCCTCCTGCGGCCGCCATACTTTTCGACCAAATTTTCGTGCTGAAGATGGACCGGCAGCATGGAAGAGAGAGAGAGAGAGAGAGAGATTTAAATGAACTTAAATTTAATGAAAAGAGTAAGACTTGGTTGCAAAGGCAAGTCTAAACAATCTGATCCAGTGAAGGTCTCATCTGTGTTCATGATTTGACTTGGTATATATTACCATGAGAGTCTATATGTTTTGACTCTTATTTTTCACTGTCCAGAAGATTAATGGCTAGTTGGGCTTTTACATGTATATTTACATAATGTTTTACACCTTCTCCACGTGGATGGGCAGTATATAATTTATCATGCGTGAGCCCACTCCACGGGGAGGAGTGTAAAGTGTTATCTCAAGCGAAAATGTATAAAGAGACTCTCTCCACATACACACACATTAACAATTTCTACATCAAAAGTCCATGGCAAATAAAAAAGTAACTAAATGTATACATCAAGTTCTATTCCAATAATTGTAGTTTGCTGCTGCAATTGATTTCCAGTCATAATTGTGAGGTATAAATTATAACTGATCGAAATTAAAATATCTTTGATTATAATATAATATTGAGCATCGATTTGATCAACAGATTCATTGATTTTAAAGGCTATAAAACTAAATCTAAAAATGGCAAAATTATTCAAATTATATAAAATTGTATTCAATAAACTACGTAACTTTAGTTACAGCTTTCAATGAAAACAAGGACATTATATATTAAAACAGACTCTATAATCTTATAATATCCCAAGATATATTCATTTTGTATAGGAGAATAATTACCGGGCAGTTATAGGTGATGCAACACCCGTATGGTTGCCCTTTTTTTGGCCATCCATCAATAAAAAACTGTCAAATATCCCTCTAGCAAATATTTTGGTAGTTTCTTCTGTATACCAAGCACTGCTCATAACCTAATCATATTAAGTCTCTGATTGGTTTAAATGAAAATTAGATTTTAATAAAATTTGATAAAAATGTATGTTTTAAAAGTTGATGAAAGTTATGAATCCCATGAAACGAGTGATTGATAATAAATTTGAGGAAAAAAGATTACAAAAAATGGAACCAAATAGGGATTAAATTCTTTAATAAGTATAAAATACATAATAATTATAACAAACACTATGAATTAAATTCAAAAAGTCCATCCAATTGCACCAGTAAATTCTCTTGTATCTTTTGTTAGAATTTAGAAAAAAATTTCTTCTCTCAAAATTAACGCACAATTCCTTTAGGATCCTCACAATTCCAGCATTAACGGATTAGATAGTATATTATTGTCCTATTCTCCAAAAGTATAACTCGTTCGTATATCACTCTAGGGAGCTTTTTCATCTTTGTAGATATAAAAGGTCCAGAGCAGGTAACCGTCTCTGTCATGGCTTGCTCGACAAAGTCTTCACCATTAAATTTTCACAAATTATGGAATGCCGACTTGGTGGAGGCAAAGTTCTAGACGAAAACAATTTCAACTCTACATTTTTTTAAGTTTCGTTACATATATTTTTATATGCGGTACTAAATATTTTGACCATTTAGAACATTCAACTAATGTCCCAAATGTGTAATATATGTTATATTAAAAAAATCTTTTATGCAAGACAAACTTGAGACAAAGTTTTGTGTGGATTACCTCGAGAGGTCAATAGAATTATGTTAAACAAATTTAACTCCAAGTCATATGAAGGAAAGTAAATGTCCACATAGAAAGCCAACCACTGTGTCTCTTATTTGATAGGCTAAGACCCTGATGGAGTACATAATAGGGCAGCAGCATTCTTGGAGCAGTGGGAGAGGAAGGAGCATAAACGAGCAATGGGGTGACAGAGCTTCGGCCAGAGCCTCACTAGGGTGTGGTTCAGTGGTTGGAGTACACGAGTTTTACTTTTTATTGCTATCCTTTAGTTTCCCTTTGTTATCAAGTAGTAGTAGGGTGTTTTTGTTAATTATTGATGTAGGGTTATATTTTGATACACCAATTTAAATTTCGTTTCTTGAAAAGTCCAGTTTTTGGTGGATTATAAATAAAGAATTACAATTCTTAAAAATGTGACCATTTTGTTTGTGAATTATTAATTGAATCATCTTCATTGTTGATTTGTGTTTTTATAACTCACTCGCATATTTTGTCAAATACTTCTCTTTATTTACGATACAATTGGTTTTCATTTTAAAATTGTATATTTATTTATTTAATTTTTTAATCATCAATTTGACGTTTCATTCTTTAGCTTTTCGAGTCATACCTTGGATGACTTCTGAAATATAGGTTTACATTTTTTTTTTCTCCATCACATTTTACATCAGAATGGCACATTGAAATACATTTTTACTACTGATACACAATTTTTTAAGTATATCGAAACTCTTAACATTTTAATGATTTTGTATGCAGTGATACGCCCCAATTTTCGTGAATTTAACTAGTTTGGAACGAAAAAGTATCTAAAAAAAAAATCTAAAAATAAAAGTTCAATAATTAAGTTGAAAAAAAAAAAAAAATTGGTGACCACAGTGTCTCAAGTTTATAAAAGGATATGTAGGCAAGGTAGCATCAAAAGACCTCCACAGCCACAGGTTTGCTTTCATTATTTATATTTATTTTTTATGAAAATATAAGGGAGGCAAATTAAGAAAACACTAAGGCCTTGTTTGATAGGGCTTGAATTCCATGGAAAATTCCATTTTCCAACTTTTTTGGTGTTTGATTGCATTTATTTTCTATGGAATTCGTTTTCTTGATTTTCTTGGAAAGGGACAATTTTCTTGGTTTTCAAGGAAAACCAATTCCCAGTTTTCTAGGCCTTTTTTTTTTTTTTTTTTTTTTTTTTTTTTTTTGCAATGGAAACAAATTATATATCTAACTGTAAAAAAATATTTTCATTTAATTGACAATTTTCATGTAAAACGAAGTCAAACGAACACCAAAAGATGAATGTTTTTTTTCTTTTGACAATGGAAACAAATTCTATCCCCAATGCCAGTAAATTTTATCCCTTTAATTGACAATTTTCATGTAAAACAAAGCAAAACGAACACTAAAAAATACTTTTATTTCAACATTTTTCCACATGAAAAATTATACTAATTAAACACAATAATTGACAATTTTCAATAAAACAATTTTTAGGCAATTCAATTCTTTGGAATTCGTTTTCTTTCCACCTAAATTTCATCTTTGCAATCAAACGGACCCTAAGAATAACACAGAAAGCATAAACGAACTGCATTGGCAGAGCCTGTATACAAGGGTAGACCCAGGATGATGGTTCAACATGGGCGAGATAGAATTACATAAAAATAATTTTAAATTAGACGATAATGATAATATTCAAAACGTAGTACTTCTTTTTCAATTGTTGCTTACGGCTTCTCATATACATCTTTTTCAACATACACAACTAAGTTATGGTCTCTATTCTAATTATGCAGTCGATTCTTCAGTGTTCATAACAGAAAATACCCTTCCAACTGTAGAGATAGCAACCAAAAGAGTTAATTCTAAAGTCACATGCATGTAAACTAACAAATACACTTCATTTCTTTTGGTCATAGCCAACTTCAGTGCAAGTTCACTAAGTTACTTCAATTCTCCAAATTCCTCGCTAGAGCACTTATCAAGAATATTGTTTTGAAGCTGATCATCAAGTGTCATATTAGTTGTACTTTTGAAAAATCTTTAGGATAATACTTAGCATGACAAATTAATTTATCATTGTCAAAAGCAGAGAATGAATCATCGGGAAATAAACATGCTAAACAAAGAAGTAACTATGTACTTATTTTTTTTTTTAAAAAAAATGATCATTCAATTTTTGAAATTTCATATCAATGACAAAATAAAATAAATCCACACGGAAGCGCTGAAATTTGTCATTTCTCCAGTATTACACCATGAGCCACTTGGGCGAACAAACACACTATCCATATTAGGAACATAATATTATTATGCTTTTGACAAATAGAAATGACTTCATCCAAAAAGGAATCCCACTCATTGTCCCCCATCTCTTGGAGTCTTTGTTTGCATATTGTCACTAAACTTATGGCATTTATAATATCCTGACTTTTCTATGTAATGCTGTAGAAAATTCATTTGAAATTCCTAAGATGATTCTCATGAGATGTAGATTAAACATAAACTCAAATGACTGCATTGAGTCCAATAAAGTATCAGCCTCAAATCTTTGTTAACGTGTTGATCCATCAACCAAAGTCATTTCAATGAAATTAATTATAGGTGAGAATATCAAAATAAAACTAATCAAAGTTTGATAATGCGATCCCCAACGTGTTTCACCAAAACATGCAATAGCACTTTGTTGATTAAGACCCAATCCACTTGAAATCTCACCATTAATGAGTGCTTCGAAAATTATGGCTTCTTGTTTCTCTCGAAGAATATCACAACGTTTAGAAGAAGCTCCAACAATATTCACCACACTAGAAACCAAATTAAAGAATGACTGGACTTTCTTGTGCTTCTTTGCTATGGCTACAAGAGCTAATTGAAGTTGATGAGCAAAACACTGAACATAAAAGGTATTTGGATTCTCTTTCAAAATAAGTGTTTTAAGACCCTTGAACACACCTTGTATATTACTTGTCCCATTATAATCTTGACCTCGCGATCTATTTATACTCAACCCATATCTTGAGATTCATCAACGAAAATTGAAAAAAAATGTATCATCAATATCTTTGATGATAAGATCAATCGTTTTAACAGCTACACCACTTACGTTTTCTTCTGAATTTGTGATGATGTTAGTTTTCGGAGCATGTTTCAAAGTGACAGCTTTATCCCTTCATTATGATTAGCTAGGAATTTCAACTATTCAAGAAAGTTACCTTGATCATTTGACTCTTTACACTCATCATGACCACGAAAAGCTTGTCCACAACGTAAAAGAAGTGGAACACAATCGATTGATGCATTTTGATGAATTCGATATGCACTTTGTGATTATTTTTTCTGCTTGAAGAGAACTGTTGGAATATGTTGCTCTTGATTCATCAAGGCTTCACAGTTGCTTCAGGCTTGATTGTGTGCATTGTGGGTGTCTCCAACATGAACTCCAAGTCTATTCTTCTTTTTAAAATTATGGAACCTTTCTTTAACATCACCACCTCCTTGTTCCTCATTGTTTGGTC